CAACCCGGCTCCAAGGCACGGGAGAAAGGGAGAGGCAGGGGAGAGGGCAGAGGAGGGTGGGAAGTCCGTGGGACATACAGTACAGCACCTACACAGACAGACACACACGCCACGGGAAGCGGCATCGTGGTCACCAGGAAAAAGTTAACAGTTACAAAAGTTCCACTTGGCATTGCATAACGCCCCAGGTTGGCCAACGGGAGCTGGAGATGGAGGCACGAGAGTGAGAGACAAGAGATGGCAGTGATGTGATGTGGACAGATAAATTGCACATTTCTCATCATGACGGCCCTGCACGGCAATGCACTACACTACACTACACTACACTACACTGCACTGTACCTTTCTCCACGTCTCCTGTTCTCCCATAACAACATGCTATTTCTTGCGTTATTCCTGAAATTCCATGTCACGCCCCCTCGCAGGCCCCCATCTCTAACCCGCCCTAGCACCACTCGGTCAGTTGGTGTTTTACGTTGTAGCAGCCTTTAGGCTTCATGCTAAGCACGACGGCGTCTCGCTGGGCCCTTCGCTTCCCCGCAGTCCGCAAAAACCAAGCCAGCGAGCGAGTCTTAACGTTAGCACCACCAAGAAAAGAGGGTTTCCCGGAGTCACGCCCCTCCCCAGTTTTTGCACTTGGCCTTCCTTATCCATAGTTAGTTACCTGACATTTACCTAAGAGTAATGAATGAATGACCGACTTGACTGACTGACTGATGAGACGACGACTTCTTGACTACCGAAGCATCAAGAATGAGGGGAAGAGGAGGGAGCTAATCACGCGTACTATGCCATACTATGCCCCCCTACCCTATGCTGTACGAGGGTATTACCCCAGGTTTTTGTCAAGTCGGCTTCGGCATTGACATCCATTTTCCTTGACTAATCCTTTTGCACCATTCATCGATCCCATCCATCCATACGCCTCTCTGCTGACAGCAGCAGGAGGAAGATGAGGAGGAGCTACTATGCAGTAACTACGCTTCACTTCCCAAGACGCCTGCCGGAAGCGGTTACAAGATATGAAATGGTTTCCTGTTCGTTGTTGGCATAATCCCAGGGGCGCAGCCAATCAGCATCCGCCTTCCGTGGCCAGTCAGGGCCTGTTTCAGATGCGGAGATTGAACGTCAGTCAGTACGTTAGGTGTACTGTACTGTACGGTACAGTAAAGTAATAATGGCATGCCCGGCAGGTCTCTTGGAATTTGTCCTGCCCAGTCCAAGTCCTGGGCATTCATTTGCCGCAGGAGGGAGCAGAGCAGCGCAGCACATTACGTACAGATTATACCACAAAAGGTGCGAGCATGCACTCAATGCACGTTGAAACGAACGATCTGAGGCAGGCGTAATAAGTTAATTAATTACACATGGTGGAAATTCTCTGCACGTATGGTGTTGGCTCGTCTCCTCTCGGTCACGAGCAGGCACGCAATCGCTGGAGCCCGTTTGCTCAGACTCTGGGCAATGTCACCACTTCCCCCCCCTCGCTCGGGACACGCACGACAGTCGATGACGAGATGACGTCGATCGAGACTGATCCAAAAGTATCTCCATTCATCGAAAGGGAGCGAATCCAAACACAATGGCCTCTGACGGCCTCGGCTTCGACGATCTCTGTTTCATCTTCTTGTTGTGCTTTTGCCAGTGCCACAGCCCTCTGGTACTAAAAAATTTCGTTGTCCCGCGGTACACCCCGTTCGTTGCCTTACCAGGCACAGGGCCATCACCCATCGTACAAGCGCTGAGCAGATTGGCCGCCGGGCTGGCTGACGTGGGACGAGTTACACGTCAGGACAGGCTGTGAGCGTACTGACCGAGATTGGCAGGGGTTGGAGGGCATCTCGAGAGGATTCCAGACTCCCTACATTGCAGTACATCTGCACCTTGAACTACAGTGTGTGAACCATAATCATCAAAATGCAACTAATTCAGGCAACCTTTGCTGTCAGAGGCGACGTTACTAAAGTCTGATGCAATATCACTGTCATTTAGAAAGCGTGGGATTTCCTTGATTTATCTGGCATAAATGAGAATATGTGCTCTTGATAATAGCCGTGATTATCAGCAGGCATAACACGCATACTTAGAGGGGGGTGCAATGGTCAGTGGCCAATATGGCGCCGTTCCCAGCAGCAGAGAAACGAGAGAGTCGTCAATCTAGCCCAGCAGGCCTCCAGTGCTGGTGCACCACCTATTACACAGTCCCTCTGTTGAATCTCGTTTTGGCACCCCAACTTCCCTCTGGTTTCAAGACCTGGTTGTCATCAATCTCAGAACGAATGGCGTGTCGCCCTCGCTGCCGGAGGATCCCAACAGGGTACTGGGGCGCTGGGGACTCAGTAGGGCTCAGTTTATCGACAGGGGTCCTTGCAATAGGCGTTCGGATAATTTTTTATATTGATTGATCTCCATCACGCGTTTCTTACTTCAGATATCAGGCTATGAGAGGACGAGGATGAGGGATCAGGGAAACAAGCAGCAGAGTTTCTGACGGGACACGACGCAAAAAGCATGCTCAACCACTCGCTAACAGAAGATTGAGCGGTCCACCCGCAATTTGCATTGATGTCTGTTTGCGCCAGCTCACTGCAACTCGAAACAACCGCAGTGGGGAAGAGAGAGAGAGAAGAGGCCCATCAAGGTTTGACGGCAGGTGTTCCAGTGGAACCTGCTCATCGACGATGATCTCGGCTCCTGCCGGGGCCATCCCAGGTACGGCCGAACTCACTTCTTGTTGTTGTTCACTGGGGGTTTGGCCTGTCTCCGCTGCCGGTCCGGGGGTTCGTCCAAACGGAACGACATCCCCATCCCTCTTCAAATGACAATGAGACGTCCGGATTTCCACTTCTACTGCCGGGAGTCGCTGTCTTGGAATTGTAATTCGCCTTTTGGCTCACAGGATCAGCCCACTTCATGCCAGAGGTGTCAGTCACTCCCAGTACGAGGCATTTATGGATCTGTCCAGGAGGGCTGCCGAAAACCAAAACAAATGCCTCGCCCGGCTTCAGAGGCGGACGAGCCTGCCAAGGTGTGAGGGCTAAGTTAATGCTCGGATCCTCGTCCGGTGGCTTGCGTGTACGGCATTGGCTTTTTTTTCTTCTCAGAAAGTTTTCCTCTCGGCTCTTTTCCAGCGCTGTCTCAGCCGCGAGTTCGCGGCCGCCATGTCTAACCTAGGGATAAGGTACCCCGATGAAGGGCCTGGGGCTGGCTCATCGAACGTGCAATGAACCTGAAGTGTTCCTAGAGGCGGCTCGTCGCTGGTGACGCAGCCTCAGGCACTGGACGTCCATATGTCCACCAAGCTGCGCTGTCTGACACTGTCCGCCCTGATTTGCAGGGCTACCGGCACCTAGGGCCAGGGCACGCACGGTACGATTGCGATCTGTGTGAACCCTGCCTGCTGCGGATCCCGCCTGGGTGGGTGAGTCAAAAAGCCGCCTCAACATGTGTAACTTGAGCAGACTCTGCCGCATCATCAAACAATGGGCAGAAAACTCTGCACAGGGCTCGGCAGCACGGGAAGCGACCAGACTGGCACAGAATTGTGGCCCCTGAGCGGGGACCTTCTCTCAACACCCCAGGAACAGTTTTTCCAAAGGGACAACGCCGACAGGACCAGGCAGCTCGTGAAAAGTTTCCTTGCTGATGACTGGACTGGGACCGTGAGCATGAAAAGTGTATGACTGGTCGTGGTGGAGAGGTTGCATTGAACAAGGCAGCGGAAGCTACTGCGGGAACTAGAGCCTAGTCCGCCCTACGTGTTCGTCTGTCGTCGTCCGGCTTGGCCCCCAGGGCTCCAGTAGGCAACTTCATCTGTGGAGCGGAGTGGAGTGGACTGGCGAAACTGGGCTGGCTGGCTGGCTGGCTGACTGACTGTCTAGCCTGCCTTAGTGCCATGGTGCGGCTGTCAAATGTCAGCTCTGGCGGCCTTGATCGCATCATTGGAGAATGGAGATGCGCCAGCACATCGAAGATCCAGGGACGACGAGTGCAGGCTCAGGACCGCAGGAGTCAAGACAGAATGCAAGCCACCCATGCATCTAGATTCCTCGATGGCGTTTCTCAGGTTTGCACCATCTCCGGCTGTCTCTTCTCTGTTCTTCGCTGTGATTCCTCGACCTGTTAAAATTTCCATGTGTTCGACATGCAGTGCTTTAGCTGCGTGTCTCAGCGCCTCCTGTTCGATGACAGACGGATGGCAGGAGAATGATGACCCAGCTCAGAAGATCTGTGGAATGTTGAAGCGCTGTTTTCGGCCGTGTCTCTCCAAACGGGACAACTGTTCGTCGAGCTGGCTACACTACACTCCACCTAGAGCGGAAGTGCCTGTCTGTCCATCGACACCTTGGCCTTGGAACGGGCTCCGGTGTGCCGTCTCTACTCAACGGCATTAGATGCCATGTCTCGGTCTTAGCCAGGTCTACGTAGGCTAGCAGAACGCCCTTGGAATTCAGGGTCCGCTTCATTTGCTTCATCCCTCGTGTGGGGGTCGAGCAGTCAGTAGCCCCAAGAAGCTCCAGGATAGTTTGAGTCACAATTACTATTACTGTCTCCTCATCCTTCAGGGCTCACCTCCGGGGGTCTCGCGATCCAAGACAATCATGGCTACATCAACACCTCTCTTTGTTTACGCCTCCAGGTGGAGTTGAGATCCACCGGGCCCGGGGAGCCAGACGAGTCTGTGATTGTGCGAGAATGCATGCCGTCTCTGCCTCTTTGCAAATTCTTCCATTCCTGCCAACCATGCCATGCCCCGTCCAGCCTGTTACACTTGGCGATCACAATTCACGTAACAGGTAGCAAGTGTGGAAAAAAATTTTCTCTCCATGTCTCACATCGAGGACAGCACAAGTCTTATGTGCAACTCTTTTCGTTGTGTACGGCGTAATCATCGTCTATGCAAGTGTGGGCCCCTTGTATCGTGAGCCATAATGAATGATTATGCTTCCCGCAGACCAATTCCATAAATTCATCAGAACACAACGAGCATGCGTGCAGACTCATAGCTCGATCTTGAGGGTCTCAAAACCCCTGGCCAGCACCTCCGCTCCGCCGACCCTTTCAAACTCCAGCTCGAGGTCCGGCTGCGCCTCCCGGTACAGGGCGTGCTTCTCGCTCGCCATCTTGCAGTTGTACGCCGCCTCCTCGTCGCTGATGATCCGCTTCTCGAGGCCGTTGGCGGCGGCGGCCTCGACCTGCAGCTGGATGGCGCACGAGCGCTCGAGCAGGCCGAACATGAAGCCGGCCTCGTCGACGGTGGCGCCGACCGTCAGCAGGCCGTGGTTCATCAGGATGACGCCCTTGTTGTGCGGGCCCAGCGCCTCGGCGATCCGCTCGCCCTCGTCCGTCGCGAACACGATGCCGCCGTAGTTGGCGTACACGGCGTGCGCGTTGTGGAAGTTGCACACGTCCTGCGTGAGCATGTCCAGCGGCCGCGCGAACACCGACCACGCACGCCCCGCGGCCGTGTGCGCGTGGCAGATGGCGTGGATGTCCGGCCGCCGCTTGTGGATCGCCGAGTGGATGAAGTAGCCGGCCAAGTTGGCGGTGCGGCGCCCCGTCGTCTTGTTCGGGTTGCCGCCGACGATGCGGCCCGTCTCGATCTCGATGGGCAGCATGTCGCCGGCGGTGAGTGTTCCATAATGTTTGCTTAGCGGGTTCATCCACATCACCGCCGGGAATTCTGGGTCGCGGACAGAGATGTGTCCGGACTGGCCCTCGGCATAGTTCTGATGCGCCCATTGCCTGAAGGTCGCGGCCATGTGAATCAGAATATGCCTTCTCTCCTCGGCGAAGGAGGGGAATGTGGGAATGCCTGATACAACAGTAAGTCTCACGCCATGAGGACGTCAATTTCTGTAGATGTGAATTCCTTGAGTGAGTTGAAAATTCCCAAACGCCATCTTTTTCCAGCCACTCCTATTGTACAACGATCACCAATGCTACCTCAGAGGAAACCTTGAATCTCACCTGGCAGAACCTCTCCCAATGAAATGGCCTCTAGCGGCGTCTTCTCATGCTCGACTTCAGGAACATCCTGCTTCTTCACCGCCACAGCAGTGGTGGACTCGAAGGACTCCCTGATTGCTGAGGGGGCCATGTTGCTGCGTGTGTATTCTCTTCTATCTGAGGTGAGCTGAATCTTTACGCGTCCTTTGCTCTTGTCGGATACGAATCTGAGGCTGTCGCTTCTTGTGAATTCGTCGTTAGTGTGGTCGGCAAAGATTTTGAGGTCTCGGGCATGAACAGAGGTTAAGATAAGACTAAAAGGCATGCCGTCTTACATTCGGAGCGCGCTGGTAGGTCGCCGTTGCGGGTCTGCCGGTCCCGGAGGTCCACCCTGAGAGGGGAAGGCACGCCGAATTGATAGCGTGGCGAGACCCTAGAGTTCTGAAGATAGCCTTGATAGCTTCCCAGCTTACAATCATCAATGACATTGTAAGTGTGGCGATGGCATTATTGATAACAGCTGATTCCATCCGCAGTTCTACTCTAGTCTAATCGGTTATTAGTCTTTAGAGTAAACTATAACTCAAGCCACTTGTGTCCCAGAATCCCGAGTTGAGAAAACATGACTTGGCAAGCCCTTTCTGAAGATCAATTGTGCTTGAAAGAGAAATTTGTAGGGTGAAGCAACGACATAAAGGCAACAGCAAGTTGTCAAGGCATGAGTTCCGATATTATGAGCAGACTCATCAATCCCTAGAGTGAGACCGACGATCCAGAGTTTACTTGCAAGTTTAAAGACAACCACAATTTTCATCTGCCGGCTTTGGACTTCGAAGCCATTGAGAATTGAAATTCGAGCTACCAACCCTGATATATGCAGATGGGATGTCCATCACGAGCTAGAGTCGTAGGCCCTAGAAGCTCATTTGTATGGCTCTCAACCACTCTCACTCGATACTGTGCGAGGCACCTGTCTGTCGGCCATCATTATAAGGGGTTTCTTGAATCAAATTGAGTAAAATTCTCATCGGGTTTAAGGTCTTCAAAAGTGCTGTATTTTCAAGACGTCCCGGTATGCTGAAAGGTCACCAAGAGGCTATTCAGTATGCCGAGTGGATCCAGGGTTAAAAGGCTTCTGATTGAGTCCTATGGAATTAGTTGTTCCGACTACGAAATTTCGTGAGCTGCTATCTGTGATTCTGATGATCAACACTCTGTAAGCCTGGCTACGGTGTTCGAGCCTCTTCTCTCTATTGCAATGAGACTTACGTAATATTTATCTTTCGGACTTATAAAGGAAGTTAGGCCGTGTTCAGTTCCATAGCCTTTTGAGAGCAACTTATGGTCTCAGAGTAGAACCATAGTATCGACAGTTGCTCATATGAGATGTCATGCTGGGTCCCAAAAGTCGTTGAGTGCTCACAAGCTCAAGACAGCACTCACTACCCTTCAGATCTCAAGTTTACCCTTCACGGTGAAGAGCCTAAGGTATGTCTTATCCGGAGGAAGAATTCCGATGCATGTCACTGAGCCGAGCAAGAAGTATAACCACACCTCGACGTAGACCACGTGTTTGATCAAGCAAATATTCATCTAGATCTTTTTTCATATTTCGCCGGCCAGTCGGCCCGTAAACTAGAAACCCAATGCTATCAAATGTGCCGAAACTTACACGTAAGCCAGACGAAGTGTTCCCCACGGCCCTGGATAGCGACAGACCCGAGCCTTCGTCCACAGATAGCTCACACACTCTCAACCAGACCGTGAACCGTTCGAACGCCACATTTCCCTTTGTATGCAGCCGACCAAGTTTATACAACTTTGGTTCTGTAAAGTAAATCACAAGAAACGTATGAATGAGCCGCCAAACATGCTGTCACAGTGATTGAGCTGACTTCAATGATCTTCGAGAGCATTGATGCGCTTCTTCAAGAACTCAAAGGAGGAGAAAAATATCGCATTGACCGCGCAGGAGCGGCCCATGGACACGCCGAGACCGCGGTACATCTGCTTTCGGAAGAATTCGATCTTCACCGGCTTGACTTTCTGTCCTTTCGAGTACATGAGGCAGTTTCGCTGATATATGCTCTTGGCCGAGTCGATGGGATCTACTCTTGTTAGGCTGGGTGGCTATGGGAAAGGGGTGCCAAGGCTTGACTTACAAATCATTGCCCATGAGACAATACCGCAGAGACCACCAGCGACCAGGACAGCGAGAGGGTTGGAATGTGTCCCATCACCACCGAATGTGGTCAGAAGTTGCTTGCTACTCTCGTAGGTCATGAAGTATATGCCAGTGCCAAGCGTATCTCTCACTAGCCAAGACGTTAGCTTTCCCGAAACCACGACAGGCTTTAATCTGAAGGGCAGTCCTACAAAGATGCAGGTTGAAGCCTGTGTACAGGCCCCCGAGTCCGCGGTGTTTGACAATATTTCTCATTGTCTTGAAAGTCCCCTTATTCTGATAGCTCGCCGCAATCTTTTGACTCTGAGGCTCGGGGCAGTTCTTCTTGTCGGCCAAGAGGACCGAGACTTGAGCACTCAGTTTGGTCAACTCAAAGGGGCCTAAGCGAGGCAAAAGTCAGCGAAGGCACCTTTGATTTGACTCTCTCATCACTTACAAGCTATCAACGTGATGCATGAGCCAGCTGTGGCACCGGCCGCGCCAAAGCAGGCAATTGAGGACAGGTTTGGATATGTCCCCCTCTTGTTGACGTGCCCCAGCACATCGATTCCGAAATTTTTCTTGAGCCAGTCGGAGTAGGCGTATTTAGAGCGTTGATAGATCGAGAAGGAGACGGTTCGGACGAGCGTCACACTTGCCATTGGGGCAGTTACGCCTATAGGACCCCATGGGTAGATGATTAGCAATGAGGTTCAAGATTCCGTGGACCGGGACGGAGACTGCGCTCGAAGGGACAAGGGACGCTCGTACCTCGAAAGAAACCTCTCAGCTTCTCTTGCTGGTAAGTATGGCGCACGCAGTCCAAAAACCCTGCGTACTTGTACGTCTGCATGCGTGTCTTCACACTATCGAGAGGGAATGCAGACACCGTCGACAGGACACTCGAAGCACTGGCGGCGACCTCGGTGCGGTAGCGCTTGATGAAGCGCTTCTGCCCCGCGGGGCGCTGGTGCTGCTCATTCTGATCCCGATCTTTCTCTCGTCCCCTATCTCGATCCCTGCTGCCGTATTGAGGCATTCTCGGCGGCGGTTGCAGTTTGATACCATCTTGGACGTGGGTCTGCTCGGCCGTCGCTGTCATCTCTTCCCGCGGCAACTCGGTTGTTGGCCTTTCTCAGCAGCCGCCTTTAGACAATGGTCTCGGCGGAGCCTAAGACCAGAGTCCTCAATGCGGTCGCGGTACGGCCAGTTGCCAGTAAGGGAAGGTCCATGAAGAACCCCGCGACGCGTGCGGTGTTCCAGTGAGGGTAGGCTGTCCTCGATGCGTTGAATCCGGCCGGGTTGTCTTTGGTGAGAGTATTAGTCGTATGATTTGTCGGGAGGGATTGAGAAAAGAGGTCCTAGAGGGGATGTTGTAGAGGGAGGGGAAGGGAAGGAGAGTGTCTCCTCAGAATTGGTATCGCCGTCCTACCAGATCAAAGTACAATCGGTTGGACGACCTGGTGCATGTGTGTGTGAGCGTCTTCTCTGTGGTGTGTGAGTGGTGGTGTGTGTGTGGCACGTATGTATGTGGTGAGGGAAAGGCTTAACAGTAGCGTAGGTGCTGCAGTGCTGTGACCAGTTGATTGCGGGGTTGAAATGTACAAAGAAGCTCCCTCCGTTTCTGAGCACCTGGTTGGCCACACTGCTGTCGGGCACCCCACCCCACCTCCCTATGACGAAGATCTCTCTACAATTGAGATAGATAGATACTATGCGATAGATACCTACCTTGCCTTAAGGACCTTACTTGGCCCGGGATATCGTCCGATGGGCCATCACAGGAGACCTCTCACTGAATTACCTACCTGCAGGTGGTGAAGTGCAATGTAGAGAGGATGTATCACAAGCTGATAACAGAAAGATGGACAATTCACAGCGGCTCAGTCAGATATGTTCCGTGACGAGGATGATCCCTTCTGCTTGGCTTAGTCTGGCTTGTAGCTTTGGATAGGTACCTAACCCGAGAGGAGGTAAGCCGATGCATGTGTCCAGCACAGCACCTATGTCTACTACGCAGGAACCTTGGGGCAGACTGACTCAGAGCAATTGGTTGACCAGCTAACCCAACAGACGTTTTGTCCATTGTCCGCTACTCATCCCTTATCTCTCAGGAGAAAGCCATGGCCTGACCTCAACCTAACTCACTGCAGCTGCTGTGTGGTAGAGGATCGCTGCAGGTCGGCCGTGAACAGCGGCTGCGCAGCGCTCGTTGCTCGTTGCCGACGTCATGCTTGCAGCCAGGCTCTATTAAAGATCACCGGCCTGCAGCAGCCTGTGCCAACTCCCAACGTCTCACAATTGCCCTTCTCGTTCTCCCGCCCGACGGGCTACAAATTGAGCAGGAATTGAATAGAACATCCATAGGTGTCTATCTGCATTTACGGTATGAGCATGATTTGCAAATGCAAGACCCCAGCTTCGACCCCCAAACGGGCGAGCGAGCCGCGATGGACCCTGAGGCGGCAACGGCAGACAAGCAACGAATCCGTACAGGGAGTGTAGCACAGCCAAGGGAAGGCCAATGAACTGTCATTCGATTACGGGTATGCTAAGCAACCTGCCACACCGGCTGTGGAGCAAGGCGAAGAGAGACTGGGGGTTCGTATTGGTGTCCATCAGTCCACGATCAACAATGCTATTCCCCGCGCGCGAGACCTGCAGGTCTCACAGTCTTAGCATAGCACATGCAATCCAACATGCCCTTTTCTTGAATCTTCTTCAGTCTCCCAGCCCCTAACTGCCTTTGCTCTCATGATCTGACATACGTCGCTGCATTCTTGTTCGATAGGAATCAAGTGCTCAAAGAGGAGGATCGCAGGATCTGACTAGACTTTTGCTATAGGAAGCTCTCCAGACCGTTTCGGGAAGACCGCACTGGCCAATCGCAGCTCATTGTACCAGTAGTTGTCCATTTTGAGCACAACAGGCGCAAAGTAGGGCATAAATGGGGGTTACGTGATGCTCGTCTCGGTGCTGAATGTGACTGCTGTGTATGCTGCCCTACATGAGCTCCCCGGATCGGCCAACTGAGCCGGCTTGGCCCCGGTAGCTCGGCACTTTGGGGTCGATTAGAGATGACTGGGGAGCTCGTTCAGCGCAGACACAGGCCCATGGTCTTGTTGAGCATAGCAATCGTCATCTCATAATGCTGATATGCCGTATCTTTGATCGTGTTTCTGAACATAGACGTCAGCCAAATGCAGAGGGGGAGAGATGAAAAAAACTAACGATTTCTTCGGCTTCCCCTGCGCATCCCGCGCCTCCTTCGCGATGACCGACCACTTGCGCGCGCGCACCTCGTGCTGGCGGGCGTGCGCCGTGCGCAGCAGGTTCTGCAGGATCTTGTGCTCCAGCCCGGCCTCGACGGCCGCGGCCTTGAGGAACAGGATCGTCCGGTATACGGCACGGGGGTCGAGCACCGCCGGCGCCGCCTGCTTCTCGCGGAACGCCGCGCGCAGCTGGTCGCGGGCCACGAAGCGTGCCGGCTTGGAATACTGTACTGCCCGCAGCAAGCCGCGGTACAGGTGCCGGTAGGCGCGGATAATCTCCTCGTTTGACATGAAGCCCTGTTGATCCGTGTGGTTTCGAAGTTGAGTTGTGGTGGATGAAAGGAGATATAGGTTATGAGATTTTATATGGAGATGTGAAGTGCCTGAGGTAAGTGCCAATAACAAAGAAGCACCGGCCACCAGATCCGCAAGGACTACCTTAACCCCTTGAAGAACGCTGATAGTTCTCAGCCATCCACTTCACTTTTCATTTCACTTGTCACGAGCTATAATTATTCTACTTATAAGATCCCTTTTCACTTGCGAGGATACATATATCAATGTAAATGCGTCTGAAATTTGCCCTATACATAGCGCTTAGACTGCGCCCTAAATCTGCATTCCGAATGTTATCCGCGCGTATCCAATGCGGAGACCCAATTGCCCATCTCTATTAATACAAACGCTCGCAGCATCCCATGACACTGGGAGCGTTTGAGACATGGCAAGTCTATGCCTGGTCCTGCCTCTGGAACCTCGTCACACCCCCGTGGGCTACACTCTTCTCTCCGGGAACATGAGCGCCTTTCTATATGCAATATGGTCTAATCATGGCCATGTGTCCGTTGCTTTCCACCCATGGTCGTATCGTTTCGTTTAGTCCTCTCTCTCGGAACGCAGTGGTGCGTATCTTCCGCTGCGCGTGGATGCACTTCCTGGTGATCTCGTGCGGCTAACGACTCTTGAAATCCATCCGGCAATACCACCGTCCCTCTCGCTCTGAGACCCCAACTGAGGCTTTCCGTCCACGATGGGTACATGAGGCGGGTCAATGTCAAGACCCGGGAAGTTGTTTGATGGGCCCAGCAAGGGGCGGCCGCGGATGTCGAGAGATGGAACGGGAGAGCCAGACCGCACAAGAGCTCCGGACTGAGGTCCCATAGCAGGAGTGCCCATGGTGGCCGGAGTTCCCATTGCTGTGCTGGCATCGCCAAAGATGGAGTCCATATCTTCGAGCCGGACACCACTGGTCTCTGGGTAGATGAAGTAGACTGCAAAAAATCAGTTTTCACACTTGCTTTGGACATCAAACCTCTCAAGACTTACCAATGACAAAACTAGTAGCACAGAAGAATGCATGCACCAGATACAGCCTCCACTTGATCCACTCCTGTAGAATCGGTGTCATCTCACCGACAAGCCAGTTGAATGCCCAGTTTGTAGCTGTTGACAGAGATGCGCCCTTAGATCGAATGGTCAACGGCAGAATTTCGGGAGGGTACAACCAGGGGATTGGTCCCCAAGAGTACCCAAAGGCGGCGTTGTAGATCATCACGAACACTACAACAAGAGTCGGCGTGGCCCGGATGTCGAGGAATATGAAGTAGGATATCATGGAGAGTGAAACCGTCATGGCAACCGCTCCAGTGAGCAAAATGACGCGGCGACCCCAGGTGTCCACGATGTACCAAGGTGGGATCGTGGATAGGAAGTACGTGATGCCGTTGATACCCGTCATCAAGATAGCATCATGGCCCACCCAGCCAGCGGACTCGAACACGTATGGAGCATAATACGAGATTACGTTGATACCGTTGAGCTGAGCAAGAGCTTGGGCGGACATCGCGATGAAAACACGAGTCCTGTACCGGCGGAACATCTCGGCGTACGTGCGCTCACCTTCCTGTCGTGCAAGCAGAACATTCATCTTGATCTCGCGGTATTCCTCTCGAGCTTTGTGGTTGTGAATATCACCGCCACCATAGAGGTCGGCAATGACAACAATGCCTTCCTCGTCATGGTCATTGTCAAGCAGCCATCTGGGGTCGTCTGTCAATATTCTAGCTTGATGAGGTTATAAATGGAGCATACCTGGGAGATTCGACAATAACCAGACTTCCTAGACCTAGCAGCGCGCCCATGACACACTGCATGAACAGTGGCAGCCGCCAGGAGTAGTTGCTCTGGATAAACCCACAGAAGTAATCGACCCAGACAGATGTCGTGTAGCCGATGATGTTTCCTGAGAACTCAATGCAAGCCAGCTTACCCCGATTGTGGGGCGGAGAGATTTCGGACTGGTACACGGGAACAATCGTCGAGAGGGAACCAACACCGAGACCGGCAATGATTCTGCCCACCATCATCATGGTCATCGTCGTCGCAGCTGTCTGCAAGGCGCCGCCAACGAAGAAGATGATGGAGCCATAGAGAATTGTTCTTCGACGGCCGATGATATCGCCAATCCGGCCGACCATTAGAGATGAAATAAAGGCACCAACCTCTAGGATGGCTACCATGGTGCCTACATAGGCCTTCGAGGGGTGATTGAAGGCATCTAGGAAGTATGGACCGCTGGACGACACGTTAGTCAAGGTACATACAAGATAGGTGGCCTATAGGTGAGGAACGTACGTGATAATACCGGACATCACACCTTGGTCATATCCGAATAAAAAAACGCCTAATGAGACGAAGATACTTGTGAAATAGCTAGACAGGAGATTAGTATCGATGGGATAGTCTTGGGGGAGACCTAGGAGATCTCACATCAAGGGCTTGCCGGTGAGGCCATGAACGGAACTCCCTCCTCCCGACATGATTGTGGCCAGAATGCGTTCTGCTCTAGAAACTCTTCGAGCAGCGACGTCTGGGATCTCAATTGCCTCTTTACTAACGACTCCAGATTGGTAGGGGGAGTGCCGGTCGCGTGCGTGACGGCCGCGGCTGGACTCGGCGTCGATGCGGACGTGCTTCTTGTTGGGGTAATGGTGCTTGGGGTGTCTCTTCAGAACGCCAGCGAGGATCTCGTCATCGAGCGTGTCGTTGAGGCGGTTGCGCAGGGGGTCCTCGTCGGCAAGCTGCTCCGCGATGTCGCCGGTGTCCGTCCACGAGTCCAAGTCGGAGTCAGAATCGGAGGCGTGCGGGCGGTCGACGTGGTGGGCTCCCTGCGAATTGGAGTACGAGTGCTGTCGGCCCAACAATGACGTCGCCTGCTCGTGTCCGCGTTCACGATGCTGGCCGGGCAGTGCTCTCAGGGGGATATTCGCGGGGGGCCTCGAGCTGGAGGAAAAAGGAATCTTGGATGGTGATGTGCTGGGAACGGGCAGCACTCCCGCAAAGAACGTGGTTGTCTGGGAATGGTAACGTGGAAGAGGGAATGGAAAAGGGAGATGCGGACGCACGAGCTACGACGCCGTTGCGGTGGATAGCCAGCAGTGCAGGCCAGTCAATCACAGGGTCCCTTTTGGGGTGTCCAAAGTTGGGAAAAGGTGCGACCTGACCACAGGAGACCACAGTTGCACACGGGATGGCCAGGTATTACCGTATTGGTATGCTCTGGGGGAGCCGATGGGTCTCCTGGATCCGCGCAGCGCGGGCTGTCGGGCGTGTCCCAGCCAAGATTGCACTGGAGAATGCCCATAAGCCATTAAATTCGGCGGTCACTCACTACCAGATCTGTCAAGCCAGCAGCCTTAGCCTCTCCACACGTCTTCCACCACGCATCTCACCGCTGCAGTTCAAGACCAGAGAAGGGCGCTGATTTGACGCGGGCTGTCGCAAAAGCGGATCAGGTGAAGTCTGTTGCTTCCCTGCGCCGCCGTCTGCCGCCCAGAGCATACTCGTGAAGTTGAGTTTCGGGGGCCTTTGATATGTAACTCTGACCGGTATTATGCTGTCGGGGTACATCTCGTGCAATTGGCAACCCCCTTGGCCGCATGAGATGGAGTCAGATGAGCTTGACAGCCTACCCAGCTGGGCATGACCGAGGCTCTTCAGGCCTTGCACGCGACCCCGTCTTTCTCCAGCTTTCCCCTCTTCCTATTTTACACAAGCCGGCAACGAGGATCGTGTGAGTGTGTGTGTGTGTGTGTGTGTGGATTCAGGAGCGAACTTGTCGTTGAGCTATGACGCAATCTGGCATTCGAGGCAAAACGGCCTTGGAAAGCAGCCCCCGTGTGGGGGTTGGCCTAGCGCCTACCTATCTACCTGGGTAGCGGCAGCCATCGTGACTTTTCGGCTTGCCGTTGGATTGCAACGCCCCAGCCAATGGACTGCTTCCCAAAACGCAGCCGGAGATCTATTAAGATCTTGATCTATATTTTGCAAAAGTCTCTTCAGATAGGCCCAGTCTCAACTAATCTCTCAGAGTTTGCACCCAAGCTTATCTTAGGAAGTTTGCTCGTCTCACAATCAGCCGTAATAATTACGAGATGGTAACGTGATCTTTCTACGTATTGGATATCGGACAACGGAACGAGGTCCCAGGAGTAGCGATTGTTGAGCATCAGCAGATACCTCAGGCAGATCTATTCAGAGGACTGTGAGAGCAAAGAGTAATAGCACAGAAGCAATTATTAGTGAGCTGTCGATTATTCAGGTGCCTTGTCACACTTGGAGTGATGAGTTGCCTGAACAATCTTTCACTCTATAGTGCCGACACTCCTCTACCTGTGCTGATCTCTGATCCCTCGACATTACTTACACACCAAATGAAATATGAGTACCGTGCAGTCCGGCGTCGATTTTTGGGAATTCATGATACTAGCATGTGGTGTATATGACACCCTGGCGGGATCTGAGAAAGCCCGGCTTTAGAAGCCCTTTAGGGATGCTAAAATTGCAGTGCAAATTTAATGCACATGCGTTTCGATCAATGAGAAGCAATGCCAAGAGGTCAACGTGTCTTCAACGCCACTCGCTCAGCTGCCATCGACCACAAGCCGCATGCGAGGCTCTGGTTGCGGGCAGCACAACAGCAGTTGACACCTAGTCGACCTTCAAAAGAGACCTAGACCATGGTCCTCGTAGAGGTTGCCAATTTGGCAAGAGGCTCTACGTCTGCGATTACTAAAAACAACAGCAGTCTAAGCGTTCTCAAGCACCCTAGAGGGGAAGTTGATCAGTGCTAACGATCCAGTTGGCGGAGCCAGCCTGCGGAGCCATTTTTTGCCACCTGCAAAGCACAGCCACACCCAAGCTGAGGGAGTCGTAAGCTCGTGGCAGTGGCTTGTAACCGTTGGCCAATGACACCCCAAAGAGATGTTCTGGAGCTGTGTAGTCCACTGGAAAGCTCTCTAGAATGGCTTGACATGCCAATCGATTACTTGGATAGCGGGGAAACGGGTTGGCCTAGCTCGCCTTGGTTGGAAGCCAAGATATAGAGGTCGGCAAGTCGGTGAGGGCGACTTTTACTTCTGTCGGGGAGCGGGTACGTGGTTTCAATGGGTTTGGACATGTTTGTTTGGCGGCGCATAAACCGTGCTGCTAAGCCGCAAAGTTTAATGAGCATTGAACACGCGCTCGAAGGGACGGGCCTGCAAGGATTGTCGCCTTGATGATGATAGACGCTGGGGATAGCCTCTCCCTTCGCTCACTCCTCAGTAACGGTGCTCAGGCCATGCCAACAAGAGAAAGGGATCTTTGGCTCAAGCTGTTATCAGTGTAACTTGGAATACGGTGAAAATGATAGACAGCACCTCAATACACTAAAGATTGATTAGCTCCTCCGAGACTTCATTAGCTAGGTGGCAATGGCCATGTCGCTGAAGAGACTAAATATTGCTGAAGAGGGCACGACTGGCCAGGAGGCATCGAGAGAGGGAAGCCACAAAGTAGGTTATCCGGGAGGATGCAACCACTGAGGAGGGCGGAGGGCCAATCGGTCGTGGCTGAAACGGCCGGACCCTTGCTTCTACCTGATAGCGGCAGAAGGATGGAAGAAACGGCGCGGGCCAGCATTGGAATTTGGAGAAAGAGTATCGTGACCTACCGGCCCGTTAATGTGTTGTTTGAACGGAGGTATTTCCCACGAGTCAAGTATGGACAGATCGAGCTGAGACTGGGTACATGGCCAGGTAGTAATGTTGGCAATTGCTTCGTCAGACATGTGCATTAAGCTTCCGAGCCGTTCGTGTCAGGGAGAGCGTTGTACAGGAAAGTTTGGCAATGCAGACTCGACCGCCGATTCCAAACAGGGGTCGCTTGATGCCAGCCGTCTGTACGACAGATGCCGGACTAAGAGCAATACCGGGTCAGCGTAGTGCGGCGTTCACCACCAGCAGGGCGTCTCGAATGCTCGTGACAGCCGAAACATGGGGATCTTAGGTTCGCCAGCCGTTTACAGAGCCACATCTTGGATCCAGGACTGGGCCGCATAGCAAGGGGGGAGGGCGGGCAAATGGCATGAACTCGGAGTGTAAGTGGATTGATTCCTCGAAATCCCCACGGATTGCTGTCCGTAACGCCCACCTGAGAAGCAATCGACTCGTCCTGACGGACCCAAAATGACCTTTGGCTGCCTCTTTACCCGGCTTTTCAAGCTGCATGCTGCAGGTCATACTGCTCTCTGAACTCAATTACGGTGAAGATCTGTGAGGAGACGCGTCCACTGCTCGGTATGGGCTGCACCTGCCGTGCGCCATCGGCTTCTAGACGGCTCATCATCGACGGTGTGCAGGTTGCCTTGCATAGCTTGTCGAGCGTTGCTTAGCTACCTGACACGGTATCTTGGGTTAGACGTAGCCGATGGATGCAACAAGGATGCGGCCAGACTGGGGAGGCAAAAAGGGCCTCTGGCTGTGGCCAAGTCGATTGGTGCCCAGCCATCGGTGCCCTCCAGCGCATCATGCATGATGGCCCATAAAGATCCCAAGATTGTCCATAGAGACCACTTCCCTGTAGAGATCTGGCGGTCTTTTTATATAGCCATGTTGTGCGCACCCGCTGGACTTGTTAAGATCCGTCCTGCTCCCACAGCCGCAGCGAAACCCATCACCACTGTCGTGTCTGCCGTCACACACTGTTACAGCAGTAATACTCGAGTGGTATCACGGCCGTCGAAATAGACACTGTGCCCTCGAGAGACAAACGAATCAGCCGGCGACGGGCCAAACCACCGCCATCTCCGTCATTTCCCTGGCCCTTGCTTCTGCTTCCCTTACAGGAAATTCGCCAAAGCTGCTGGCCAATCGCAAGGTCTGCTCGTCGCAGTGGGGGCTTTAGGGTCGGCTCAAGCCATCTCACCGGGCCACTAAGACAGGCAAAGACACTTGCAAGCTGTCGTGGGCCAGTGGTGCAGTGGTAGCTCAGCAAAAGGAACAGGCACAGACAACAGCCAGAGCCATCCATAATACTAATAATACGGACTGTGCAAGGGCCTCCCTCAAGCAGCAAGGACCATCAGGACCACTGAGCCACACCAGCCTTTTGCGGTTCCTGCCTCAGGTGGATTCCCCCAGGTACCTAGGAACAGGAAACCGAAGAGCATTAAATTTTACAGTGCCTTCTTTAGATTGCGGAGCCAGGCCTGGGCTGCCAATTTCGCCAGCCAAGCTCGCTCCTTCCCTCCCCCGTCACCCATAACAACACGCTGAGCAGTCCAACCTGCGACACCTCCACCTGATTTCTCACCAGAACAACTTTTCCCGGGCTCAATCAAGAGAACGATCAAGTTGACCACCAGCTAAACAAAGACATCACCAACAATCAAGAAGAAGAAGAGACAAAGTGACATAATTGAGGGGGAGAGACACCCGACTGTTAGCTTCGAGACACTGCGATCATCGATCACCCTACCAGCCACCCACACCCACCCGGCCTAACTGCTCATCTCATTTCCTTGGACCTAGGACCAAGGACCGTCACCCGCCGACAAGGTCACATCGTATTCATCCCTCCTTGTCTCGACTTTTGCCGTCGCAACCACTCCAGGCTGGTCGAAAACACATCTTCACGACTTCAATCATCTGTGCGATTGAAGAGGCAAGCTCTTCCATCACAACATCGTCACCTTGCTAGCTCGATTGGCGCCACCTTCAATCCCATAGTGCCGCCTGGTTACCCACACCCAGCGCCAGGCGCTTCACGATCAAATGGGTTCAACACAGTTTGGGAATTTCGGGGTAAGGACTCCATGCACGCTCCTGTGTCATTGCACATATCGAGTGCGTGCGCACGCAATTGATTTCTCTGCTAACTTGCTTCTCTTCAGCATTTCTGCCGAGATTCTACATTACCAGTCTGCAATGTATGTGTGACCCGAGCGATACCTATGTCCTAGGAAACGATCAATTGGTACACCTGACTAACCTCGACGATAGCTCCTCAGCTCGAGTCACAATCAAACTGGGCCATGGGGTGGCTGCGAATTGAGGGGGATTTCGCTCAGTGGAGGTAGACACCTGGGCAATTTAGGTTCGTTTGCGCGTGGAGCAATCAAGAGTACGGACCGTACTGACAAGTATCACAGGCTCTATACTACTTTGCGGTGTCGCTATCGCAACGAGCATCTACTTGATTCTGCGCTCAGAGCGCAAGAAGGCGGCTGTTGGTCGGAGGTGCGTTGACTGTGTATTGCTGTGATGCCTTCACCTGCTAAATTTGCCTTCAGAGAAATGCAGCTGTTCCTTCTAGGATACATTGTCATCGAGATTTGCGAGATATTTACCGTGGGCGAATTCCCGCTCAAGTCATCAGTCCGGATTGTAAGCTCGATATCGTGCAGAGAAGCCCATATTTGTTGCTAATCTCTTCCAGGCTTTCACCGGTATTCACATTGGCTTTATAATTGCTACAACATGGATTCTCATGCTCAATGCTGTCGTTGGATATCAGATCATTGACGATGGCACGCCTATGTCACTGGGCCTCATGATCGCCTCCGCGCTCGTGCTCCTTATCGGCACTGGCTACATTGCGCTCGATACCGGCTTCAGCTGGACCAACTACTGGGACTCCAGCTACGATGCGCCAAAGTTCCGAAATATCGCCCTATATGTGTTGTATCAGCTAGCGCCTCTGGTCTTCCTCGTTGCGTTCTTCGTGCTAGAAGCTATCCTGGTTCTCCGGGTCCTGGGAGAAACCAGGCCAATGATTTACCTGGGCGTTGCTGCACTTCTGTTCGCCTTGGGCCAGATCTTCAACTATGTGGTCAGCAAATACATATGCGATGGCACCTCTGGCAAGATTGACGGCGCAATGTTTGAGACACTCTTCACACTGCTGTCAGTGGTAACGATCTGGGTCTTCTGGTCGAGCATCACTGAGGACGACTGGCCGATGCCAGTAGGCAACACATACCCATGATAAAGATATTTGCATAATTTGTTTTGCCTCTGGAGTCGGAGTTCTGGCTGGAAGTACCTACACTGATAATGCATTCGACGACGCCTACGGGCCTCACGACCTTTATGCCGAATCGAATCGTACATGGCATCTTATTTAATTCATTTCACGAGCTGGCAACGGACGTTGGAAATCAATGCGAGAGGAGAATTGGATCATCATCTCGTCGCGAGACTGTTGGTCTAGTGTTGTAGTCGAGGGGGTGGATTTGCCGTCGAGACACTAAGATCTTGTTATCATTGTTCGTGGCACGTTGTATAGCGGTTTAGAGCATTACCTAGTATACCCAATGGATGGACGGCGACTGATGCATATGAAACGGTCGCCATGATAGAAGAGATAATAAATCAGCCTTTCGGCACAATGAACATTAAAAAATCCGGGTTTGATTCCTACCTTATCTCTTTGCTTAGCCTTGTAGTTCCTCACACCTGTATGAGACCTGTTAGCTTGACTGTGCAAGGGCAGCATGTGCACCAGCCTTGAAATCGCCCCGCACTGTGTTTCTAAATAAGCACAGCTTACTGGCTCAAGGGAGCTCTTAGGCAAGGCTGATCTTAGGAAATCGAGAAGGCTGCAGTGCACGACAAGAAGCTTTCATCTTCCTTCGTTCCTCACCTCCATCTCGACACACTCTCTTAGAATCTTAAGCCCCACTCTGTAGCTCGACCATTTTGGCCCAGCTCATGGATTCAGATGGTGAATATGTCGAGGACCGCAGCGACGATGACATTGCCGACCACCAGGTGACGAGCGGCGGCAACCCCCACGAAACTCGAGCCGTCACACAGCGCCAGTCCAGACATGACAGAGGCAAGAGGAAAGGCGACAGGCACAAGGGCGGTGGCAGGTCCAAGGCGGCATGGGAGGATATCCAGAGGAGCTGGGACACCGTCCTCGAGGGCGCCGACGGCAGCCTGGCGGTCGGCGACCTGCTCGAGGCCGAGAAGAGGAAGCGGCTGCTGCGCGATACGACGCCGCTGCAACGCGGCATCATCCGCCACCTAATGCTGGTGCTGGACATGTCGTTTGCCATGGCCGAGAAGGATCTACTGCCCAACCGGTACACGCTCACGATGCACTACGCGGTGGACTTTGTGCGCGAGTATTTCGAGCAGAATCCCATCTCGCAGCTAGGGATAATAGCGATGCGGGAGGGCATTGCGGTTAGGATAAGCGACATGAGCGGCAACCCGACAGAGCATATCGAGCGTCTGAGAGAGTGGGAGACAAAAGAGGAGCCAAACGGGAACCCCAGCTTGCAGAATGCGCTGGAGATGTGCCGTGGCGCGTTATTGTATGCTATGCCCATGGCCTTTGCAAGACATATCTGTCTATGAACAATCACTTACATGTCTAATTCCACTCCAGTCACGCTCCCTCACATGGTACTCGAGAAGTACTCATTATCTACGGAGCTCTTCTATCGAGTGACCCAGGCGATATCCACGACACCATCTCCAATCTGATCGCCGACCGCATCCGAGTCTCGATTGTCGGGCTCGCCGCACAAGTAGCCATTTGCGCAGAGCTCTGCTCCAAGACCAACGCGGGCGACGACAGCTCGTACTCCATAACAGAAAATGAAACACACTTCCACGACCTCTTCCTCGCCGCCACCACGCCACCCGTCACCCGCACACGAGAGCAGAGCAAGGCCTCGCTCTTGATGATGGGCTTCCCCAGCCGGACGCTGGCCGCCGGCGCAGCCGACAGTATATCCGCCTGCGCGTGCCACAACAAGCCGACGAGAGAAGGCTATCTATGCACGCGGTGCCAGACGAAGGTCTGCCGTCTGCCCGCTGAGTGTCCCGCCTGTGGCCTCACGCTCATTCTCTCCACGCACTTGGCGCGGTCATATCACCACCTGTTCCCCTTGCGCAACTGGGTGGAAGTGTCTTGGGCAGAGGCCGTGAAATCAAAGGCTTGCTATGCATGCCTGTCGCCTTTTCCGGAGGTGACAAAGGCAAGACTGAAGGGCAAGGGAAAGGCGCCAGCCATCATGCCAGGGACTTCAGATGCCGCGGCCGCCGCCAAACCGAAAGCGGCCGAGCCGGTAAAAGGGGTCAGTGAGAGTGGGCGATACGGGTGCGAGGTGTGTGGCAATCACTTCTGCATCGACTGCGATGTATTTGCACACGAAGTCGTTCACAACTGTCCCGGCTGCCAAAGCGATACGAGAGGCGCGGCTCAGCTAGCGGCGGAGATGAACGGCAATGGCCATGCGAACGGGGACATGGACATAGACTCATGACAGGTAGAAATCCTGCTCACGTTACCAAGGATATTTTGGAATGATTTTCTATTGTATAGGATGATTTCAAGCACTAGGGTCATGAAAAGGCGTATTAAGGTCTTCTACTATCTGGCTACTGGCCTACGGTGGGACATTGAGAAAGCATAGAGCATTCCTTGAATCAAAGAGAAACCACCAAGATGGTGTGTATTTGATACCATTCTGTATAAACACTATGTATATGCACACGTGAATGTTGGTTTTTGAACCAACCGGTATGGGGATTTTCCTTCAACGTCAAATTTACGTGATTGGATGTTACACATCTACAGATTACCACGCTCCGCCTGCTCACGCTCGATAGCCTCGAACAGGCTCTTGAAGTTGCCAGCACCGAAGCCCTCGAACGCATTGCGCTGGATGATTTCAATAAAGACTGTGGGGCGATCCATGAGCGGCTTGGTGAACAGCTGCAGGAGGTAGCCCTGCTCGTCGTAGTCGATGAGGATGTTGAGGCGCTCAATGGTCGCAAAGTCCTCCTGCAGCTCCCAGTTGCGCTTCTCCGTCTTGAGGCGCTGGCGCATGGTATCGTAGTACGTGATGGGGACGTCAATGAACTGCACGCCGCGGGCGCGCAGCGCCGACACGCAGCTGATGATGTCCGGAGTCAGGATGGCGATGTGCTGCACACCGGCGCCGCTGTTGAAGATAACGTACTCCTCAATCTGCGAGCGTTTCTTGCCGGGGGCCGGCTCGTTGATGGGCATCTTGACGATGTTATTTTCCGAGGCCATGACGATCGAGTTGAGGGCGCTGAACTCGGTGCTGATCTGGCTGTCATCGACCGACCAGAAGCGGTGGAAGGACAGGCACTGTTCGTAGAATGCGCATGCAGCAACCATGGCGTTCCAGTCTTGGTTGCCGACGCAGTGGTCGATACGGGCCATGTTAACGTCTGGCAAGGCGATCGCCGAAGGCTTCTGCTCGACAGCGCGGAAGCCCGGGAGAAAAGGACCGGTGTAGTTCTCTCGGGAGATCAAGGTGTGCGTGGTATCACCGTATGTGCGAATAACAGCCGTGGTCACGCTGCCGAACTGCTTGTCTTTGATCGTCTGAGGCGGTTGGACTGAGTTGGCACCCTGCTCAACAGCTCGGTAGTAGACAGCATCGACATTGTCCACCTCGAAGGCAACGTCCTTTACGGCATCGCCATGTCTCTCGAGGTGATCATGAGCCTCCTTGAGAAGCGCCTTCTCAGACTCGGAGATAGGCTCGTCCTCGGGGAGATAATTGTGTGAACGGATAGGGGACGTGAAGACGAAGCGAACATCACCGTTGCCAACGACATATGAGGTGAAGTATCGACTGCCAGTCTCCAGGCCACGATATGCGACTGTCTTCATACCAAAGAGAGTGCTGTAGTATGCCGCCGCCTGCTTGGCGTTGCCAACCCACCAGGTAACATGATCATAGCCATTGAAGCTGGGAACAGGGTGGCGGACCGCAAAGTCCGCCTCAGTTGGAGGTGTGGAATATGCGCTTTTCGGGGAGTCAGTGATGGCAGACGGGCTCATTATCACTCAGCAGTTTTCTTTGCTTGACGCTGACTATATCCAAGGTCTAGATATTGATTCTTGTGAGCAGACCAGTTGTCCTTGATGAAAGTAGTGAAAGATATTGGAGTGGAAAGGAAATACTCGAGACAGCCGCCAACTTATAAGGAATGTTGACGAATGGAATCAGAGATGGTTCGGGCCTCGTAATGATGTCTACCTTCCTTTTTGAGTTGTGTGTAAATGCAGTTCAAGATACAGATGTATTCCGTCATGCGGATAAGCCGCCTTGTATATGTCTTCGAGGGGGACCACCGAAGACCATGTCTTTGATTCAATGAGAAACGCCGGGCTACCCGTCAATTGGTGCACGCGGCCGCCAGCCGGCATAGCCATTATGTGAGACCTCATCAATTGGCACAAGACAGGATCCATCTGCAAGACTATGCTTTCTGTGGCAACTACCACAGTCAAGTTGAGGGGGATTCGGTCAATGGACCTGTCATCCTTCACCTCCTTAAGCCGTGAGGTGCTGCGGAACTAGCCCGATAAACGTCAATCCCCTCGGCAGCCGAACCTAGCCGACAGAGGCCGCGAGCCGCATCCAAGAGCGGAAAGCTTACTGAAGCCAACACGCTTAGCAGACTGTCAGGTTTTGGAACAAAAGCAGTGTAGGAAGAACATGTACCCCACTTCCTCGTGTCATTGAACGAATCAAGGTGAGTCGAATTGAGATGTTGTTGCTGGTGAGAAGACAGAGGGAACAGAAAGCGATGTTGGCCCCCCCAGTTTGCGTTCCGGTGGGGCGCAATACCGTAACGTCACCTGCAGTCGGCTACATATACTCAAAAGTCCAGAATCTCACGAGGCAAATCGAGTCCACTTGAGAAATAATTGTATTGATTCTCGTCTTTGAAATCTTGTCTCTTCAACAGTTAGACTTCGTCGGAGCATTTTGTTGCGCAGGAGCCTTTGAGACGCGTCAGTCGACGATTAATCATCTAGAGATAAGCCACTAAACAACCGATTAAAGTTCGCCATGGCATATTTATCATTAAGCACGCGTGACCTCAACGTCCTTGAAAAGATCAAAGATCCGGAGTCCGATCCATCCACATCAGTCTTCGTCGATAGCGCCCTGCAAAAAGACCCTCATATCCGGGACTCTGCCGAATATGATCGAATCGTTGCCGCAGAGCGGCAGGTAGTTCTTTCAATGCAGGCTCTGGAGATGGAACTGGCTGGTCTTAGACCTAGATCCACGGCAGATCCCATCGCAGAGTATAAGGGATGTGTACGGAAGCTAGGTGACATCATCTCTGGTCAACCAAGTTACGCGAGCGCAAGGAACAACAGAGCCCAAGCGGCGAGACGCTTATATGGAGACAGCTTGCTCCTATCTAGATCTCAAGGAGCGCAGAAACCCCTGATCTCCGTCCCCGAACAAGCTGAGAGAGTCCACGCTGCAAGTCAGTGTCTGGCGGACCTCGACGAGGCTATCATGCTGCTCACGCCTGCGAGTTTGTATGCAGGAATTTCGCCTGTGGCTGCCAAGACGCTGTCCCTGGCGCACACCCAAAGAGCCGCCATTTACCATCTAACATCCAAACTGCTTGCTTCCGACACTCTTGATGTCGACCCGGAGAGAAGAGAAGCTTCATGGGGCAAGCTCGAATTCGAGGAGGCTGCATCTCGCGACTTTGCGATGGGTGGAAGATATGGGAATGAGATTGCCAAGGGGCTCGCTGTGAGCACAAATCCCACTGCGAAGCTATGTGGACAAATGGTCAGAGAGGCAATGAAGAGAGAATATGGCCCGGACTTCGCCAATCAAGTTAATGGACGGTAGAGCGATGGATCAGAATAGAACAAGCTCTCAACCGCGCGGAAACGAGAAGTCGGAGAGCGCCTTTGCTATGATATATGACCACCATGAATGCATCATGAGTTTCGAATGTAAGGATAGGAAGAATCTTGGAAATGTGTTGAGAAGCATTCTTAGTTTCTGACCATGGGCTCGTTTTGAATCGAATATATCGGGATCGACTAGGTCGTTTTCTTGGAAAATCCCAAGCGTCTAGAATTTAGGAGTTAGTTTCTGTGTTCCTCAATGCGTAATACTTAGCTGAGAAAGTATTAAGCGAATTTGCATACCTCAGACCAGCGTCAATTGTCTCAGATGTGGTCCGTCCCTGCTCCTTGCCTTCACGATTGATTCTTGTCGCAGCAGCGGAGAGCCCAATGAACACGGCGAAGATTGGGTCTGCGACTCTAGAAATAATGTATGTTGGCGGCGCCATCTTAGAGTTGCTAATATTTGACGTATATGTTTTGTATGAGATCAAGGGTCGATTCTAAGTTGAGAGATTTCACTTGAGCTTTTCACACAGCAGAATCTCATGTAATTTCTGTACAGGGGAAGCTCTCATGTTTCGAGCCTCGGGGCCAGCCTCCAGTTTCCTAGCCCGACTTACCTCCCCAGCTTACATAAGGGAAACTGCCACTGCCGCACGGACCATTTGAGTATTCAGAAGTCACGTGTAAGATCACCTGTAAGTGGAGTCTCTCTCTCACTAGCACCGAAATTTCCCTGCGCACCGCACATTTTGGGATTTCGAAAAAAGTGACGACCGCCAGCCGCGAAGATTAACCACACTCAGCAACAGCTTCATTCACCACCGACACAATGAAGTTCCTCAAGGTCGGCCGAGTCGCCATCGTCACCCGCGGTAGATATGCCGGCAAGAAGGTGAGAAATCCAATTCCAGTTCTGTCAGTGGGATCGAAGACCGAGGGGAAACAAGGACGGGATCGGAGAGGAAGAGTAGGATCTTGAACTGTTCGCGGATGGGGACGACGACGAGTGCAACAACAACAACAAAGAAAAGGAGGGATTCAGGCTGACCAAGTTCTTTTCCTTCTACAGGTTGTGATCATCCAGCCCGTCGATACCGGCAACAAGTCTCACCCGTACGGCCACGCCATAGTCGCCGGCATCGAGCGCTACCCGTCCAAGATCACCCGCCGCATGTCCAAGACGAGGCAGGAGAAGCGCAGCAAGGTCAAGCCCTTCATCAAGGTCGTCAACTACAACCACTTGATGCCCACCCGTTACACCCTAGAGCTCGAGGGCCTCAAGGGTGCCATCTCAGCAGACACCTTCAAGTTAGTCAACCCCTGATGGATTGTGGGAATTCCTGCCTGAGGGGTCTCGGGAGGGCTGGCGTGCGTGGCATTGGCATTTTGCAGATACACGAAACGCACCCTGCCTGGACCTCTGGGGAAGGTGATTCATGGGACTCGCGCTGACAAGTTTTAACAGGGAGGTCAGCCAAAGAGAGGAGGCCAAGAAGACTGTCAAGAAGACCCTGGAGGAGCGCTACACGAGCGGCAAGAACCGGTGGTTTTTCACCCCTCTGAGTATGCTGCTTCGTACTGTCCCGGGGAATACTGGACTATTGTCGGCTAACATAACGTCTCACAGAATTTTAAACGCATCTCCTTCATCTTCGGCTTGGGCGGGGCGAATGGTTAGGGATGAGCATCGACGGCATTAAAACCAAGGCTTATTACGAGCTAGATTCATGGCAATTGAGTCACCGCATGGCGTTTTTCTAAGACTACGTACGATACAGTGGGCTGAAAAAGGAAGTGATGATGGCCCCTCGGAACGTGTGAAGAAACGGTGCCAGTCGGGTGTGAGGAAACGTAGTTACCGAATACAACTGCACAAATCCAACAAAACGGCCCTCAACCGCCGAGTATCTTGCTTTGTGATTCTTTCTCACCGTTTGATGCCAGTCGACGTGCAAGTTCCGTGATCAGATCTCAATTCCCCACACTTGAGCATCTTTAATGTACCAACTCTAGGAAAGCGAAATTCACGTCACAATCGATTCCTTTTCTATCTGGGTTTAGCAGACATAATCTAGTCGTTCAATCACGCGTACAAGAGCAACAAGAATGGACATTTTCAGTTTTCATTTATGTCTACTTCATCGCGCGTACGTACAAAAGCTCTTGGTTTGTACACGCTGTCTAGAGTTACATCAATTAAAGCCATCATGCTGTGTGTGCTTCATGCAACCCGAGATAACAAGAAAGCCATCGTGCTCTACGCCGGTTTCATTCTATGACAAACACGCGTCCGTTGCCCTGTCTCCTTCCAAAGAGTCCCTATCCCCCTACACCTACAAAGGAAAGCCAAAGCTCCGTAAAACAACAAAATGTGAAACATGATGGTTGAACTCGGAAATGCGGCGAATATGTACGCGGAAAACTTGCTGTTTTTCAACATGACTAGGGAAAGTCCAGCAATTGTAAGATCCCAGATTAGTCGGTGGTGACCGATATTAAAAGGTGTATCGGCAACAGTGGGAACGAGTGAATCTCCGTCACTGCTCATGCACCAGTAACCCCGAGCTTGTTTGCAGCCTCGCTGAAGTACTTGACCGGGTCGTAGTCAGGGGCGTAGGTCGGAGCAAGTCCACCCAACAGCAGGAATACAAACAGGGCGGCAGCAAAGATGACGATGATCTTACGAAGAGCGGGGCGCTTCGCTCCAAATTCGGCCCATTGGCGGCCACCCTCGGCAGCGTAGCCCTTGAGGGCATCATAGCCGAGCTTGTAGTAGATCATACCTCCAAGGGCAATGCTGTAGCCAAAGAACTGTAGGCCAGTGACCTGGGTGCGCCAAATGAGCATGGAAGCAGCCACAAGCAAGACATCCTTGAGCACACCGCAAAGGGTGAGCACAAGAGATGAGGTCTTGCCGATCTAGATTGGCTGTTAGCTTGAGAGTCATGTTGGGGTTATAGGGAACGCCTTACCAGCAGTACCACCGAGACATTGAGCAGGAAGGCGCAAAGACCGTTGAGGAAGAAGGTAAAGAGGCCAACATGGTAAACCTCATCCATCGTAACTTTCGGAATCTCCCAGCACAGGGCAACAAGGAAATTCATGACTGCGCAGACTGGGGCGAAATAGTAGACGGAGACAATAGGGTCCATCTTGTACTCGGCCGAGCTAAGCAGGCGCTGGACCATGGTGAGGCGGATAGCCTCAAAGATGATGCCGCCAACCTGGAAGAAGAAACCAATCCACACGAACTTGATTTCACCAATAGAGGCAATGATGACACCGACCACAATGGCGGAGACATTGAGGAAGACCTTCAGGCTTGGCTGAGAGACACCCAGAGTCCAGCTCGCGAAGAGGACGGCGACAGGGGTAGTGGCCTATGAAGACGTAAGCGATACACGCATGTCAACTCATAGATGATGGGAACAAACCTTGAGCATTTGGATGAAAGCAACACTGAGGTACAGGTATGTCAAGTTTCCACAAATCAGACTCAAGCTGAAGAACAGCCCAATGGGAACAATGGCACGCAAGTAGACGCGTCCAGTCATCTTGACAGTCTTGCGCCCATCAAGAAGGTGTGTATAGCGCGCGAGAAGCTGGGTCATGATTGTCGCAAAAGTCAAGTGGTAGGTGGTCAAGATGACCGGGTAGTCTGCCTTGTCTTAGTCCTTGTCCTCACAATCTTTCATCACAATATCGTGGGGGCCTTACGGAACTTCAGTGTGTCCAGAATCCACTTGTTGAACAAGATAACCGAGGAGCTCACACTGATCCAAGTACTACAGAAAGCCAACAATTAGCAATTGAAATTATGTTCCACCATCTGTCGCCAGACATACATGACATAGATAGCAGGGTGTATCGAAGCCTTGGGAGCCTGCGCCTTCTCAGCGTCAGGGTTGACTGTAGGCAAGATGGGCTCATTTTGCTCTCGCGGCGATTCGCCGGAGACTCGAGTCTTCTCCTCAACGGCACTCATTGTGATCGATGGACTGGTTGCGAATTCTTGTTGGGCGATCAATTTGGTGATGCGTCGAAGCAGCTCGCTTGGGAGATTCGAAGCGACAGTGGCGATAAGAATGGAACAAGAGGGCGAACGACAAACGACAAACGACGCAGTCGGCAGATAGATAGAATTGAGGGGCGTAACGAGCGACGAAGAAGATAAAAAGGGCCAAGCCTGCTACAGTACCAGCGGCGGGGGAGATGCTGGCGTCAGTCTAGAATTAGCGTTGAAGGTCTGAAACCTGTCTTGCTGTCCGCATACGACTAAGTGATCTCTCGGTAGTGCGTTTTTGCGGTCGGAGGTATATACCCGGCTGCTGGCTGGATCCCAAGTAATATGAGTCTATCGCGAGAAACGAACGCGGGCGTTGCAGCAAAACGGCTCCCAGGTTTTTGACGAGAAAAGGAAGAGGGAGGGGAGGGACGAGGTGGAAGGATAAGGTCAAGGCAAGGTTGAGGATAGAATTCCCGTATCAGCCAAGGTGCATGCAGTGCATACTGTACAGCACTGGTCCAGACAGGGAAAGGCCAGGACGGTCCAGGCAGGAGGTACCTTGTCGCTGGCGGTTGTGGTTCTCCTAATGAAAAATTATTGATAGCAGGAAATTGGTAGCGTCGCCCAGTGAGGGCCCCCACCAGCCCGCCGCATGTGGCACTGGGAGCGACCGCTGAACTGCAAAAGTGGGTTTCTACGGCCACCAGAAGATGGATGTACTCTGGTACCAGGTACTTGCCCAACCCTCCAGGACACCATCGCCCTCACTTACTCGAGTAAGCGAGATGGGGGGTGCATTCTACTTCCCCAGCGGGTGGAAGACGGTAAATACTTGGCACGCCATTGTGCGCCCATGATAGATTGGATTAGCATGGATCGCACATGCATCAATCACAACCGCAGAAGACTCCAGGGGGGGCATTTAGGGGCATCTTCTAGAGCTCTTTAGTATGGAAGTCCGTCTAGTTCTCTACTATGCAGTAGAGCCACCAAACAACAAACCAACAGACAACGAAGGAGCCGATTGACGCAATGGCAGATTCAATGGCGTGCAATTGCCAGCCCGCCGATTGGGCCAACTCTCAAACTACATCTCCTCTACGATGCTAGTCGTCCTGGCTCCTACGCTTTCAGCCGTGTCCATGAATCTTGCAAGGCGTCCTTAGCTGAGGGCTTGAGGCTCTAGTGTATATCTAGAGACTGGAGCGATTCAGGATTGGGTGCGTGTACCGCGGAACTACGACAACACTAACGATCGGGGCCGCTCCTTTTTTTTGCGCCTTCTTTCCATCGGAAGGTCATGTTGATCACTGGGACGGTAAAGAGCCGATCAGGCTGTATATGTGCATCTACAGTGTTCGGGCTCGATGGCCTTGGCCGTTTTCGCCCACTGTATATGCTTTAGTGTCAAGACCGAGCCTCTTGATGGGCGAGATGGGGCAGCAGGACGCGCGGCGTTGGTTGGAGTTGCAGGTGTTGTGCGGCAAATCAGGGCAGCAAAATGTGGAAATGGTGGACTCCCTCTCGCCGCTGTCTCGGTCGTACATCTTCGTTCCTGGTGAAAACCCCACGATGGCCCGCTAAGATCTGAGAGGCACAGATGACGTAGCTTTTCGCGACTTCTTTCCCAGTTGCTGCTCGAGCCTCCTCGTTGTTCAGCTCAGACGGCTTTTTCACGACAACTCTGGTATATGTGTGCTATTCACAGTCATTCGCCGCTCACAGAGGCTGTTCCTGGCTCTCACTTTGAGACCTCGCCCGATCACTGTACCGTTCCTTGCAGATAGGATCTTTACTTTCGGCCTTGATTATGTACTTTGTGTCTGCGTTTCCCGGTTGAAGTGGCATTGTGGCAAGCCGGCTCGCAAGCAGAAGCCATGCAACCAGCCAGATTTACACCACGAAAAAGTCACCTGCAGCGCTAAACTGGTATCGATGGGAAGCAGGCCAGGTTTTGCAGCTTGGAATATGTTGCCGCCTCGTATTAATCGATACGGTTGCCATTGACTTCCTGCCTCTGCCGTGTTGGAAGGCTGGGCTAATCTATATTGACGCTTCAAGTGCCGACAACCCCCGATGCCTATCTGCCGGCCAGCCTTGTATGATCAAGGTCAATTTGAACGGTTGTGGCGGCATCGAGGTGATCTCGTGTCACCTCTCTTTGTATTGTAGACCGCGGGAGATCTGAGTCTCGCCAAGCCTCGCGACGCTGCCGTCATCCATACAGCATGCTTGGCCTGTCAAAATCGATGCTGTGCAACGGCAGCCCCCTTTTGGAGTGACACCGCTTCCACAATGCCCCGGATGAATCCCCCGAATGGAGGAAGCTATAGGTACAGAGCTATGAATCATGTCACCCAGGCCTGTGAACAAGTTTACAGTATCGAACAGTACTGTAGTGGAGTTGCTAAGTTCTGCGATGTCCATCTGCTAATCGAAAGATATGCGCTTGTTTCAACATCTCAAATTGTATTAATAGAAGTATCTGAATCATGCTGAGCCACACGGGTCCGAGTCAGTGCCGAGAGAAATTTCCGGTCGAGGATCGGCTCCCGCCGCACTGGCGCCGTCACTCCGTTGTACCGACCACCAGCCCGGGTGCTTGCTTGGGAAGTGTCTGTTTGAGCATAGGAAAAACTATACACAGATAGACAGACTTCTTACTGCATTTGGCTGCAAAGGGGTAACTGGAAACGGACGGCATACGTTGGTCTTGAGCGCCGTGAGATTGTACGGTCACTGGCCTACCTCCCTGCTAAACCTCACGGGACAGGAGCACTGTTCTCGAATTAAAATTACATGCGTTGCGAGCAATGGTTTTCGAAAATCCAGTGCGGTCATTGCCGTGGGGGATCGTCAACCACGAAAAGCAAGGCTCAGGAGCTCTGCTCTTACTTGTCAGCCGCTGGGAGATGTGCAACTTGCATCAAACAGCCGAGAGCCAAGTTTGTAGGCTGTGCTGCTACAGTGGAGATATTGGATGGTTGTCACCACTAGAGGCGAGATGTGACAGCTGAAGCAATGACAATCGGTATTTTGGAATCGCTGATCATGGATGGTGAAACAACTCCACGCACCCACTGAGGCGCCGAAGAACTGGAGATTCTTTAGCCGTCCCACGTTTGAGCCTTGAGGCCACGTACGGACATGTACTAGGTCTGTGTTAGAGACTAAGGTTGGGAGAGCCGAAACGGCGCTGTACAATCGCCTACCAAAGAGCCAAGAAATAGTCCCTGTACAGCAGATTACTCGTCCTTTTCATATCAAAGGATGGAGACAGCGTAGCACTTTATCCATTTCTAGGGTCGTCTGACGCAATAATAATGTGCGGGAATCTCCCTGTCGACACTTCACAGATACCGGGTAGGAGAGAGCGGGACGGTAATGTCATTATCGATGAGCCATTTCAGTTGCCGCCAGCAACAAGGAATAATGAGTAGATGGGAGAGTCGCCTAAGGGAATTGGATAGAATCTCTAGGCCGTTCGTCGTGTTTGGCGTCGGTAGCCTTGCCCGATGCGAACGTCGCGTTATTAGCCTTCATCTTATGAGATTGCCCTCACTACGCACCCGGCAGGGAACCGCAGTCGCTACGTGAGACCACTTATCCCGGACCCCTGAGAATATCTGGTGCGTAACGGACATCCTGACAAGAAGAGCTCTCGGCCAATTAAGCGGCCACGCCTTTATCTGTGGGTTTGCCGAATCTCTGGCGATCTGGTCGTGGCTGTCTTGGAGTCGACCTCACCGCCCAATGAACCCTAGGTCATCTGTGGCCAGCTTGCCTCCCTATAGTCACCTAGGTCGTTAGTAAGGAGAAGAGAGAAAAGGGGGGCGAGGGTGCGCGAGTAAAGGGGTGAGCAATGATGGCCACTTGCTCAACAGCTGCTACAGATTTGGTGACAGTAACGGTACTGCATGTATTCCAGTGGGGAGGCACGCCCCTAATTAGCAGTGTTTGGTGGTGGTGGTGGTGGGCAAATGAGCACGGCGCAGGTACCCGATACTTCCAATGTGTGCTCTCGAGAGGGACACAAGCAGACAAGCACAGATTGCAACGACTCGCACGCTAATTTAGGGGAGACCAAAGCTTCTCTCTGCCATGTGCACCCCTGCACATCTAATAATTTTAGCCCCTCCATTCTGCAAAGCACTGGTGGTGGACTTGGATCAGGGTGGATACTCCTTTTTCACAAGCCGGTGCGGCAGGAGGACCAAGGAACCACATATCCACTTGCTACCTCTCTATTGCTGCTCTTGTTCTCTGCAGCAACCGAGATACCACTCTGGCGTGTGCGCGTGTGCTCCCTCTGATCTACCTATACACACTACACACTCTTTTTGTCTCCTACAAATTTGGGTTTTTTTCAACTTGCAATTTGCATCGCTGCTGCTGCGCACTTGATCTCTCTCTCCTGCATCATCGTGGGCAAAACAAGCACCTAGGCTTCTCTTTTTGCTGGACCCTACCTACGAGTGAGACCAGCAGGCGTCATCCTTCCCCCACCAAAGAACCGCCCCTCGAAATTATTCTAAATCCCCCACCATGGCTGATACGTACGCAACATTCCGTTCCATTTCAGGGCTACAATTAGGAGCAATTGGCGCCCATGGCCAATCGCAGCATGTGACACTGACTCTCTCTACTGCAGGAACGTTGATGTTCTCGTCATTGGCATGGGCCCAACTGGTCTGGGTGCCGCCAAGCGTCTGAACCACATTGTACGCCTCACCGCCCTCCAGCTCGAACATTTTGGTGGATCGTGACACGACTGACAAGCGCTGCAGAATGGCCCCTCGTGGTTGATCATTGACTCAGACGAGAAGGCTGGAGGTCTTGCCTCCACTGATGTTACACCTGAGGGTTTCGTAAGTCAATTACCATCGTAATCTTTGCTTCTATAGCACACCTAGCTAACAAAGTCGCTGCTCTAGCTGTACGATGTCGGCGGCCATGTCATCTTCTCCCACTACAAGTACTTCGACGACTGCCTCGACGAGGCGCTCCCGAAGGAGGATGATTGGTTCAACCACCAACGTATCTCCTATGTTCGCTACAAGGGCCTCTGGGTGCCGTACCCTTTCCAGAACAACCTCTCCGTGCTGGACAAGGAGGACCAGGTGACTTGCATCAACGGCTTGATCGATGCCACTCTAGAGGCCCGAGTCGCAAGCACAAAGCCGAAGAACTTCGATGAGTGGATTCTGCGCACGAGCGGCGAGGGTATTGCCAACATCTTCATGCGTCCATACAACTATAAGGTCTGGGCTGTGCCTACAACCAAGGTGAGAAGCACACTGTTTCAGGGCATATTGTGAGTCGATGCTAATCGGGCAATAGATGCAATGTGAGTGGCTAGGCGAGCGTGTTGCTGCTCCCAACCTAAAGGCCAACATCCAGAACGTCATTCTGAACAAGACTGCTGGTGGATGGGGCCCTAACGCTACCTTCCGTTTCCCTGCCCGTGATGGTACTGGTGGTATCTGGATTGCTGTCGCCAACACTCTGCCCAAGGAGAAGAAGCGCTTCGGCAAGAAGGGCGAGGTCACCAAGGTGGATGCCCAGAAGAAGGTTGTCACTCTGGCTGACGGAAGCACCATCGGATACGGCAAGCTCATCTCCACCATGAACCTTGACCAGCTTGTTGAGAAGATGGGCAACCAGGAGCTGGTTAGCCTCTCCAAGGAGCTGTTCTTCTCTTCAACCCACGTCATTGGTGTTGGTCTGCGTGGTGCTAGACCTGACCGGATTGGCGACAAGTGCTGGGTAAGCTTTACTAGATTCATGAATCATTTGAACAAAAGCTAACAAGTTCGCCTTAAGCTGTACTTCCCTGAGGATAACTGCCCGTTCTACCGAGCAACTATCTTCTCCAACTACTCGCCTTATAACCAACCTGAAGACAGCGTCAAGCTGCCTACCATTCAGTTGGGCAACGGCAGCAAGCCCAGCTCGACCGAGGCCAAGGAGGGCCCATACTGGTCAATCATGCTTGAGGTGTCTCAGTCTACTCTGAAGCCTGTCGATGAAGAGAACCTCCTCAAGGACTGTATCCAGGGTCTCATTAACACCGAGATGATCCTGCCAGAGGACGAGATTGTCTCGACCTACCACCGCAAGTTCTACCACGGTTACCCTACTCCTTCACTAGAGCGTGAAGGTGCTCTTAAGCAGATTCTGCCCAAGCTGCAGGACCTGGATATCTACTCCCGTGGTCGCTTCGGCAGCTGGAGATACGAGGTTGGCAACCAGGACCACTCCTTCATGTTGGGTGTGGAAGCCGCGGACCACATTGTCAACGGCGCCGTCGAGCTGACGCTGAACTACCCCGACTTCGTCAACACTCGCTCGAACAGCGAGCGTCGTCTAGCGCAATCCTTTGGCTTCTCCAAGGCCCTCGCGCCCGCAGAGAAGGTCATCGTTCCCGACTCGAACGGTGTCCCCACGCGAGAGCGCGCTTCTTCCAAGGTCTCCGGCAGCACCCACTCCCGGAAGTCTTCCAAGCAGGTTAAATAAGGGGGATGAAAAATGCATGTCAGATTAGGGATGTCACATGGTCATATTCGAGCGCTTGGGCAGGATTTACACGCGGAGGAGTTTTTCTCTTTTTTTGCATGGATCCCTCGAGAAAGGGTGTTTGACTTATCTACATTCAAGTGGCATTGTTGATACAGCTGCAGGATCTTTTCGTGTCGCCCGTTAGTATTGCGAGACGTACTGTTCCATTTTTCCCAGTTTCCCCCTCCTAGAAGATGAGGTCCGCTGGGGGGCTGGGCTGGCAATAGAGCTTGCCCGGCATCTCATGAAGACAAGACAGCTAGATAGAGAATAGAGCCGCCCCATGTTACATAGCATGTGAGCACATCGTACCACGCGATGCCTTCGTCCAAGGAAAAGTTGTCAGAGTGGCCCCTGAGCTATTTCACTTCCAAGGTTTTGTGCCCGCCCTTGCTTGGAGGAATGCGGAAACGGGGGGGGTGGGAGGAGGACCCTTAAAAGACCCTTAAACGGGTGCGGCACGGGGTGCGGGCAAGCGGTGAGGATCTTTGGGGGGAAGCCCCCGTATCTAAACACGGCAGTCTCCTCTCCTGGTGAACCTTTCTCGAAGCTATTTCCACGTGGATTATTGGCGGCGATAAGACCCGTCTTGGAAATAGATGCGGTTTGGGTGGCAGGAGCTCGAGTCAAGACGCGCTCCACTGCAGGAAGGGTCTCTGCCAAGTTGGTCAACTTGCTGCCCAAGAAAAGGATCCCGTTCCCAAAGTTGGTAAAGCAGGTAGTCAGCACCCATGTAATTACCTGTTGAGGATGTGCACTAGCATCTATCTCCAAGGCGTTTATTGCCCGGGTGCTATCGTGATCTCTTATATGCCCTATAGCAAGGTGGTTAATAGCATAAGGATTCAGCCCAAAGGAGATGAGTAGCAATCAAGCCTTGATCACTTTAGAACCTCGATTAGCCAACCATCCATCCATGACAAGGGCATTCCTTCTTTAGAAGTATTGATTACCCCAGGTATGTTCAGTTGAATGCGAATTGGGTAGGGCCAGAGAAGGCCAGTTCGCACGAAATTTGGCTGGTTAATTATGCAGAATGTGCTGCGCTAGGGGGGGTCAGTTGAAAGGGCCGGAGCAGCAGCCGATTTATTTTTGCGTGAGAGAAACCCAAGATCCAATGAGACGGAGCCGCTGACATCATTAGAACATGTATGACGGCAGGGTAGCTGTACTTGGGTGGTCTGCTGCACGAAGACCAGTGTGCAGGTAGCCGTACTGTACGGCTCGTGCGTGCGTCCTCATGCCGGGGGAAACAGCCAGAACAGGGAGGGTTGGACGGGATTGCGTCCATTCCCCCCAACTTCTGCATGTACGTGTGTGTACGTACCATACCATACTGCGTAGTAGTACTGCCCCGGGGCTGGGAGAAAGCGATGTGACTGGGGTCCGGGTGGTGCAGTTTGAGTTCTCGCTTCAGGCCAAACCAAGGTCTCCAAGATTGGCATGCCCATTCCAGCAGCGCAGCTTGCCGGTGCTCCTGGATGCGACAGACACCACGAGAACCTACCTGACCTGACCGGACCTGACCAAGGAGGAGGGGCTTCGTGGTCTCATTTGTTAGGAACTCCCTGCGTTACACCCAGTTGTCTGCCCTTTGGCCAAGCTATACAAGTAGTTTTTCTACCTAGCTAATCTGACTTTCAAAGCTGACGACCCGACTTACTACCTAAGGGCCTTGCCAGAGGCTAAAAGTAATTAACGAGCTGAGACTAACGGCCATATCCATATCCATATCCATATCCATATCTCACTAACCTCCTCCCGGGTCCCCATCTAAAATACCAGCATCTGTCTGTCTCTCTGTATTAGTCGCACACCACACCGCTGAGTAACCCACGACAGAGGCACAAATACTTCACCTTACCCGTGCCTCGCCCTATCGCAAGTTGATCTATTGGGCTCTGTTCACATCTCCTCAAACCCCCTCCCCCCCCATACACGTTGTCGATAGGAGCCCCTCGCCACGCAGGTTCAGGTCGTCTTGAGTCGGATCCCTTCCGAGAAAAGGAAGCTTAGCTGCTGGTCGCCTGTCGATCCGCCATTTTGGGCTCATCGGTGGAATTCCTGTCCCTCCGGCTCCAACGCTAGGTTTTGTCTTAGTTGCTCATCCCGGCGCTAGACTAACGACAACTCTTCTGCGTCAATACTCACACACACACACAAACCGCCTGTTCCCTTTCCTCCAACGTCCCGATACATTGCGATCGAATCGAAATCCCGCCTGCCAGACCGGCGAACCATGCCTCAACCGATTATGACTAGACGATATTGCGAACAACCTTGAGAGCTGCGTGGTCTCGATAGACACCACCCGAGCAGCGCGCAGTTGCCGCCCGCCGCGCGCCGCACGTCATGGAGGCTGATGAGCAGCTAGACCCGCCGGCGAACCTGTTCGCCCGGCTGCGGCAGATCGCCGGCTACACTTGGGACGATTCCAAACCGCTACTGCATTCAAGCTACGATAACTGGTAGGTTCTTGTTTTTGCCGCGGCTCATCACCCCCTGAGCTCTCTCTGACCTCGAGCTAGGCATTGCTGGGGCAATCGATGGGCTTCGGCGATATCATCACCCTCGCCGAATGCTGCCACTAGCTCGGCCGCGCTGGCCAAGCTGCTCCCGAGCTCTAACCGCCCGTCGCCCTCCGAGCCCGTAGCGTCCGCTGCGCAGAGCGAGGAGAACAGCGAGATCTCTGCGACGTCACCGCCGGTGACAGCGGGCAACGATGGAGGGCTGGTGGAGGAGCCCGTGGTCGCACGGGTGTCATACCACGTCCTCAGAGAAGAGAGGGCATTCCAGACGACTAAGAGCCTTATATCCACCTCAGATCCCAAGGGGGACCACATTGTTAAGCCTATCGACCTTATCCGACTCGCGCCGCAGCCTGGAGATCGAGGCCCCATCATTGTCGCCATATATCAGTTCCCAGGCCCTAACTACATGGACAAAGTGATAGACATGGGCCCTGCACACTATTGGTCTCACAGGGTTGACGAGAAGTGGATTCCCGATGTAAATGAAGACAGGCAGCTGGATGCCCCCATCAGCTTGCAGAACTTCCTCGATTTCGCTATTGGAGCTACTCAGTGTCTGGAGTTGATACATCATGGACAGGGTATAATCCACGGAGAAGTTCGCGGTGACGCATTTCACTTCAATGTCGAAACGAATAAGGTCAAGCTGATTTCATTCGGTTCCGGCCTAAGATCCTTCGAGCACGGGCTGACGAGCACTGGCTGGTCAAGCCTGTCCAAAGAGCTCGGAGCCAAGAACAAACTGCTATATATCAGCCCCGAGCAAACAGGCCGTATGCCGGCGGAGCCTGATAGCCGGACCGATATCTACTCACTCGGTGTCTTGTTTTGGGTCATGCTAACGCAGCAGCCGGTGTTCGAAGGCGATAACCCCCTGGACATTGTGCAAGGCGTACTTGGACGTCGTATCCCGAACGTTGCCTCTATTCGCCTCGATGTACCGGATGTCCTAGGTAGAATCATCCAAAAGTGCACATCGAAGAATGTTAGCGATCGATATCACTCAGCGAGCGGATTACGCCACGACCTGGTCAAGGTGCAGCAGTTTCTAGGAGATGGTGACTGGCTGGCATTGAAAGAGTGGCAGATTGCCTCGAAAGACGTATCCTCGTTCTTCATGTTGCCAACCATGATGATCGGCCGAGAACAAGAGCGAGCAGACCTATTGAAAGTGATTGAACGAGTTGCCAAGAGTCACGCAATGAACCAGAAAGGAGGGCTGAACCGATATTCAGACGGGTCAAGCCTTTCCAATGAGCAGATACTTGAGCTTTCTGGTGACGCTTCTAGTGAAGGGGCCAGCTCTGATGGCAATCGGCGCAGCGGGTCTTTCACCGCTACTATTGCCTCGGATCCAAAGTCAAGGAATAGCATGGCCCCGTCACTCCTATCGAGCGATGTTCAGACGATCTCAGGAGAAACTATGTCCTCGGCCAACTCAAATTCCGCAAGCGTTGCCAGAATTAACAGACCTTGGGAGCGCCACCAATCGGTATCGTTCGAGACTAGAAGTCTCGCGGACAGCAATGGCGAGGGCTCATCGTCGCGTCATATCCCCACTGCCGATTCATCTTCCAGCCTCTCGCGCCAACTTGGCTCAGCAAAATTCCGTAGGCGTGGGCATTGCGAGATCGTGACCGTCGAGGGAGCGGGAGGATTAGGCAAAAGCTGTCTCGTTCAGTCTGTGCTAGCAGAAGCTCGGCGGAGAGGCTATTGCGCAACCGCCAAATTCGACACCGCAAGGCGGACCGCGTATGGTCCTTTACTGAAACTGCTTTCTTCGCTCTTCAGACAGGTTTGGGGGGAGCGAAATACCGAGACCCCTTTTCATCAGGCCCTCAAGCAGTATGTACGACCGGTGTGGCCAATGCTACATAAGGTGCTTGGTCTTCCAGAATTTCTCCTGGGCCCAGTAGACAACAATGTCAACAGGTCCATGTCAATCACGTCCAGTTTAAGTAACAGGAATTCAATGCGCGGGATCAAAAGACGCGGATCCTCACCCGGGAGCTCTACTCCTAGCTCACATAGGCATTCACGTGCCTCAACAACGAGTTCCCAAGAGTTCCTTCGAGGAGGCTCGTCCACCAAGAGTATGAGGTTAATGAACACGTTCCTGGATGTTCTCCGCCTCTTCGCACACCACAAATTCATCTGCTTCTGTCTGGATGATCTACACTTTGCAGATGACGAATCGCTTGAGCTTATATCTCAGATGATTGGGGCAAGGCTAAGAATGGTCATTATCATTACCTATCGGCCGGACGAGCTATCTCCGGAGGCGGTGCAAAAGATCATTACGCCTCCCGAATCCGAAGAATTTCCAAAGCAGGGCGGTCCTACCGTGACGCGGATTACGGTATCTCCCCTTAGTGAAGACGACATTGTACAATATGTCTCAACGACTCTCTGCCGTCCGAAAGAGGAAGTTCTCCCACTGGCCCTTGTGATTCAATCAAAGACAGCCGGAAACCCATTCTACATAAGAGAAATGCTTACGGCCTGCCATAGAGGTCATAAAGGGCAGAGATGCATATGGTACGACTACAGGGATAGTCAATGGCATTATGACCTTGATCGTCTCTTTGAACAATTCCAGGGAGAACAGAACTACGACGTTCTTGACACGGATTTCATCACTCGACGTTTGAGTGAACTCCCCCCCGCATCGAGGTCCATCCTAGCTTGGGCTGCACTCCTTGGGTCCTCCTTCTCATTCGATGTGATTTGCCGACTTCTTAGCGGCGAATTCCAGTATATCGACGAGCAATGCCCGCAGCCGCACTCTGAGCATTCTCACAAAGCTTACTCACAGCAAGACGCAGTGGCTGGTCTCCAAGCTGCCATCCAAGCCTATATCATTGTGCCAAGCGAGGTGGATGATAGATTCCGCTTCGCTCATGATAGATATATCCAGGCGTCGCTGAAACTCAATGAGTGTAATGTCAGGAAAATGCACTTTGTCATTGCAGAGATACTCATGGTATGTAATCACTTTAACCCCTTTTCGTAACCTGTACAAGTACCATGGCTGTGTACTACTCCAATCCCAATTTTCATTGCATACTCATGTTCTGCAACTAATCCACTGTCTGATAGAAATACTATATAACCGACGCAAAGTCCAGGGACAATACTGCAGCGCATATATGCGAGTCAGTCGATATCATTAAGCGACGGGTACGGTATCGCAAGCCCTATCGTCAGCTGCTGTTTGACTGCGCCAAAGAAGCCACGGAGAGCGGTGCGAGACCAACAGCCGCAAAGTTTTATACAAATGCGGTTGCTCTTCTTCAATCGAACCCATGGGACGATGGTGCCGAAGATGTTTCTTATGAGGAAACTAATCAGCTCTACCTACAAGCCGCCGAATGCTACTTGTACATGGGGAATCATGGAGCTGCCAATGCCCTTCTTGGAACCATCTTCGCGAATGCTAAGAATTCATTCGACAAGGCCCCAGCACGCGTCTTGCAATCCCGGATCTACGCTCAAAGCGGAGATGCTAAAGAAGCTTTGGAGTGCTTGAAGGTGTGCCTAAAGGCTCTCAGCGTAGAGTTCGACGAAGAGATTTCGTTCGACAAATGCGATCAAGAGTTTGAACGCTTATCTATCAAGATCCAAACCATGGACAGGGATAACCTTATCAGTCCACCAGTCACAGATGATGTCGGCTTGTCCTCTATCGGAGCAGTTCTCGCTGAGGCAATCAGTGCCGGATGGTGGAGTGATTGCCTCTACTTCTACCACCTAAGTTTGATCATGGTCAATCTGCATCTCACACGTGGTCCATTCCCAACAAGTGGAATGGCCTTCCTCCACATTGCCATGATTGCATTGGGACGGTTTAACATGACCCATTTTGCAACGGATCTCTCATCAACATGCCTCGACTTGTTAGACAAGCACCGAGATCCGTTTTCGATGGCAAGAGGCTACATGATTTTTGCCAACTTTGTCGGCCATATCCAATACCCAATCAGCGTCACAGTTAACCAGCTCGAGGGCTCTGTCGACTATGCTGCGTCTGCAGGCGATCGGATATCGACAATACTCAGCTTTGGTCTTTTGGCCCAGCTTAAATTCTTCGCGAGTGAGAACTGTGCTGATCTAGAGGCGTTCTGCCAGTACGGATGCGAAGAGATCCCAAACTGGCATCAGGATACTCGCGGTGGTACCCTATTAATTGCCGTTCGGCAAGTTTCCCGCGCTCTACAAGGCAAAACACGAAACGCCGATGCAGAAGAGGTCATGAACGAATCTAGCCACAACTCTGCTTCGTACAAGTCGTGGCTGATGGCAAATGCCAACAACGGTGGACGGTCGATATTGTTCTACGAGACCATGGAGATAGTGCCCCTATTCCTATACGGCCACTATGAGCGCGCAGTCGAGATTGGCAAGAAGTGCTTAGACGAAAGCCATCTGATCTGGTCTGCCCGTAACACTCGGCTTGCGATGCTGTTCTATGGGCTGGCTCTGACGGGACAGATCATCCGGCAGAAGCAGGATCCTATTCATGCAACCAACGATATAGAGGCTCAAACTAAAGACGCCCTTGAGAAGCTTGGGCTCTTGACAAAGAAGATCAAGGACTGGGAAGTGGTCTCGGATGTCAATTACCTATCCTGGTCAAAGTTGCTTGAAGCACAAAGTTCGGAGTTAATCGGCAACACTGGTCTGGCAATTCGACAGTACGAAGAGGCTCTCGACCACGCTGCGGAGAACAACTTCACTTTCGAGGAAGCCACTGGCAACTACCTAATGGCTGGCATCTTCCTCCGTCAAGGCGCAAGGCGGTCTGCTAAATCAGCATTACGAGATGCTATCGCGCTGTATCGCCAGTTTGGTGCCACTGGCATTGCCGAGAGGATCGAGGAGGATCACCACTTGCTCCTCCACGGTCCAACTCGGAACCATAGGACGGCAGATGCCTGTGTGCAAACTGACTTTGCAGGTGATGCGGCGCCGGTACAATACCGGCCCATCGACGGCGAGGCAGATGAGGCTGCCCAGGTTGCCACACAGGCCAACATGGTCGAGTTGAGGGGCGAGCGTCTAGGAGCATGGAGAGGATCCATGCAGCCTACGGAAGCTGGCGCTGGACTTCCCGGTAAGTTTCGCGAAATGTCTCCTTACGATATGCCACGCGAGAATGCTAACAAATGATAGCTCTCGACATTATTGACCTACACTCGATATTGGTGTCCAGTCAAGTCATTTCTTCGATACTAAAGGTTGACGAGCTATTGAAAACCATGTGTGATGTCATTCTGCAGACTTGCGGCGGTTCGGCAACATTGGCAGCCATAGTTGTTCAGGACGAGGACCAGTCATGGTGTGTGGCTGCCAGCGGAGATCCAGAGAAAGGCGCCGAGAATCATATGCCTCGCCTGCCTCTATGCGGCACACCACTGGTAGCAGAAAATGTCGTCCTATACTGTACACGATTCAGAGAGGCAGTCTTCATCTCAGACATCATAAGTGATGAGCGCTTCGGCAACGTTAGCGAGTTCTGGCTCCAGAGAAATCCCTTCAGTAAGGCCGTCATTGCCATACCGATCTGCCACGGTTCAAATCCTCTACTAGGCGTCCTATATCTGGAAGGTCTGTCTGGCTCATTCACTGATCGGAACGTGACTGTTCTACAGCTACTCGTCAACCAAATCGGTATCAGTTACTCAAATGCCCTGTCTCTGAAGGCGATAGAGAAGGTCTCAGCAGAGAATGTCAGCATGGTCGCCTTGCAGAAACGGGCACTTGCAAAGGCTATTGAAGCGGAGACCAAGGCTAAGGCTGCTGAGGCCGAAGCTAAGAGGAACGTCAAGATTGCCGAAGAAGCCGCAAAAGCAAAGTCTATCTTCCTTGCGAACGTCTCACACGAGTTGAGGACACCTCTCAATGGTGTAATAGGCAATTCAGAGCTCCTGCGAGACAGCAACCTGAACAAGGAGCAACTCGAGATGGCGGACTCCATCCGTGTCTCGGCAGACTTGTTACTCACGGTCATCAATGACATTTTAGACTTCTCAAAGATGGAAGCGGACAAGATGAAGCTATACATCATCGCTTTTAATCCCGAAGAAATGGTTCGAGAAGTTGTGCGAGCAGCTTCCTACAGCAACAGGGAAAAGAACAAGAAAAATGTCAAGATTATACAAGACATCAATCTTGCCCCGATGCTTATCTATGGCGATCCAATCCGGCTTCACCAAGTTCTTGGCAACCTCATTGGAAATAGTCTGAAATTCACAGAAGAAGGCTCCATCACCATTGGAGCGCGCATCGACTCC